AAGCTACTATACGACATTTAACCCTTCAATATGTCTTCAAAGAGACCATGACGCAGAGAAAGTGGTGCTAGTGCTTCCAGGCATAAGCACAAGTCACTATCTATCCAGGAAAAGGGTGAATTTCCATGGTCCGGCAATTTCCATGGTCCGGCACCGGTCAGGTCCTGAGGTTGCCGGACTAGAGAGGTACAACCTGTATAATGTACTGTACTGTATTGTTTGTTCATCACAGAGCTTCAGTATAGAGTCTAGGCGTCATCCTGGAGAAGACAAATCAATTCACTTCTCTCTTACATACATAAATCAATTCTCCAGCAGTTGCTGTCATCTTGAGCCTAGAATAGGCAGACACTGTCCACTGCTGAATGTAACCACTTTTTACGTCTTTAACACTTGCGATGGAGGTGGGTAGGGGATTAGTGGGTCTCATGTTCCTGACTACACCTGATGCAATGTCAGGTCCACCCATTGTTGGAGTGAGGATTAGTGGGTCTCATGACTTGAAGATGTCTTGAATAAAAGTGAAAGCTAAGGTTCTCCAGTGTTTCTCACTTACTGAATGTAGAGTACAGTATACATAACTGTAATCACTGTAAACACTGTATTCTTGGCTGATTGTTTTCTGGTACAGTAATGTACAGTACAAGTACTGCACAACACAAATTGTATGCAAAAACAGCAGCTATCAAAGGAACAACTTTTCACACTGGCAGCAGAATATGAACTAAGAGATCCAAGTAGCTAGGCCACCCACACACCTGACATGTGGGGGCGTATTGAAGCATGATGCAATCTCTCGAAACTCCAGGAAAATTTATTTCCAGGCCCAGAATGAAGAGGTTTGGAGAGATTTTCTAGGAATTTTGGGGGGAAAATGAGGCCGATTTTCATCCCCGGAAACTTGTTCACAGACCCAGAATGGAGAGAGTTTTCCCGGAAATTTTCTAGCATGATTTCCATTCTGGTTATTGGAGAGTACTGGGGTTTGAGGATTCTGGCTAATGGGGTGATCACTGTATACAGGTGCTCCTCTACTTAAGAACGTTAAACTTACAAACTTTCAGAGATACAAACATCATCACTGAGGGGGGTTACCTGCCAAAATAAGTGTTTAATGTGAATGAGACTGGATTATTTTGAAGAAAATTCCAGATAGAACAAACATTACCTAAGAGGAGAAGAGTGAGCCAGGTTTTAAGGCTGTATTAAAGGTTATAGCTGTACTAAATATCCATAATCTTTTCATTTTTTTACAATATGTTTGGTATTTACAAGAGTAAAGTTGGACTTACAAACAAGCCTCAGGAACGTAACGCGTTCGTAAGTAGAAAAACGCCTGTATTAATAGATTAGTAAAAATATGTTTGGTTTATAAATGCCATGGATCAATTGCTGACTAACTGAGTATGAACACTTAAGTGGTCTTCTATATCCTATTGGCCAGTGATGGTGACCTGAGTTTTTTTTTTTTTTTTTTACGAGGATTAGCCCACCCGGGCACAGGTCACTGACCCACATCGGTGTCTGGGGGAGGATGTAATAATAATAAAGAACCATTTAGAAATACAAAAATGAAAAAAAATCAAGAATGAGTAACAATATATGTATGTTGTGTTGTCAATGGTAAAAGAAACAATTGAGACCCTACAATTGTGTGTAAATGAGGCAGAAAGTCAAATCAGCAACCTGGGACTTGGTCACAATTTTCGTGATGCCATATAGCAGCAGGGTGTACCATTAGACAATACATTAGATGCCACCAACTATAACACCCTCAGCTGAGCCTACCATGGTCATTGGGTTCTGACTTGTCTATCAGTAGGTTACGTTGCAGTGGGAAGATTCACTTGCATCTTGAAACCCAAGACAGCCATAACTAGAGTTTATGTGCTTCAACCCTCACATGTTACCTGTGGCCACCAGACTGCTTAGACCATCTTTGAGAGCTTGTTTTCATATTTGTTTATTTTAAATTCTCAACAGCTTCAGTGTTTGCTGCACCATCTTTCCTCTACTTTCTTGTTTGAAGTGAGTGATGAATAGTGCCTATACACACCTCGTATTGGCCTTTCAAAAACTGGTGATTGAAAGACAGAATGACAGTATTAGTCAGTGCACAATGATCCTAACTTACATCAACATAATAAGAGGGAGAGTTAAGTCAGTGCTCGTATAGTATTGGCCAATGAATTTTTTGTTCTTTTCTTTGGCATACATTATGTGCTACCTCTGTATCAGTGAGTTGAACTTATAAATCTTTTAAAGAACTTCACTGATGTCACTAGGGATCATCAAATTAGTCTCTCCAGTAGCTAGAAAACTGCCTGTGGGGGTGTGGCCCAACCATGTTTAAGCTGACCACCACCTACAATGGTCTTGCCTTGCTTCTGTGTTTTGCTGCAGCTGGAAGCATATTCAAACCTTTTAAGATGTGATAAGTTTGTTGTTATGCAGTTACAACTAGCCCCAGTGCTTATGCTCACTTGTATGATGATTGGCTTTTTTCTCACTTATGATTTATTGGTATAGCAGAACTTACTCTCTCTCCTGTATTGAAAACCCCAAGATTCTATTTCTGACAGATGGACAGACTTAGTGCATGATATTCTCTTTCATGCACCTTTGATGGAGATAGTTTTCAACAGGTGTTGATATTTTTTGCCTTGATGAGGAGATTATTTCCTCAGATTTTAATACTCAAGGCCTAAATTAGTGAACTTTGTTCTATATAAGAATGATTTTATTCTATGTTGTATTGGGAAGCATCTCATTCATAGCTCCATTTGAGGTTCCATGAAGTTACTGCAATATGAAGTTACTTTAAAACAATTCAAAACTTTTTCAGACAAAATGAGTCTTATTTTTCACACTGATACAATGATAATGAATATTCTTATTTTGGTTTTCAAAGTGAAAAAAATAAAGGTAAATTTTTGTATCCTTTATATAAATATGTCTCACAAAACATTAAAGAAACTGGGTCATATGGATTGAGTTCATGCAGGTTTTGTTTACCAGGTAGGTTCATCGCATAACATAGCAAATTGGTGAAAATGTACTGTTTTCTCACTTTTAGTTTTATCACAGCCAGATTTTTCCTTGTTGAGCTTGTACAGTGGTAAGATTGGTTGGAGCAATATGTATACTTGAAAAATTATGAATAAGGAAATTGAGATAGTTTGGCAACATAAGTAGAGATAAAGGAATAATGGTATGTATAAATCAAGGGAGGAAGGCTGGGGAAGGCAGGACTAGGATGTATGAATGAAAAAACTGTGGTCCCAGAGAGAGATACAGAATCTGTGAGGATAAAAAAAATTAAATTGTTCGAACATGGTTCCCATCATCAGGTTTAGGTGCGACACTTTAATTGGTTGACTTTCTAGCTAGGATGATAATGATTAGTTCAAATGACACAAGACGATCTCCCCCAAATGCCACTTATTAATGACCCATAGACAGTAAATGGAGGATTGACAAAATTCCATTAAATGATTTTTGGTGAAAGGGGTTACTTGATTTTACTCCTATGGTAAGGTTCCTCATCATTTAGAAATCTTTTGGGTCAGAGCATTGTCCTTATTTATGGCTCTTAATGGTTCTGAGGTGTTAAAAGAACCTTCATAGTTAGGCATACAGTATTCTAATGAGCCTGAAGCCTCATAGGCTGGGAAATTTAAATGTTGATTCAGTCTTGGATTAATGGGCAAGGAGATGTTCTGCAGAAATTTACACTGATCCAGAAGACAGAAGGACTTACTGCTAGAATAATTAAGAGCCCCCTTACACTGCGTAGACTCTGCCAGGAGGAGTTGTAGTTAGTGGAAACTGACAAGTAACTTGTCTCATACTGTCACCAATAAATTGGGATTTCCTGTTTAATCTTCCATTTTTCTTGATTACTGTATTTTTCGAAAATTAAAGATTTATCCTGAAATTCCAATTTATGGCTGAACCTGAAACTAAGTGGCTGATGAATCATAACCATGACTTCTGGGTTTAATGATTAATGGATCTTTAAAGACAACAATTGACCATTTAAAGTAGTAAAAGTAATGAGTAATGAATAACACGTCAGCCGAGATACCAGGGGCGGATCCAGGAATATCAAAAGGGGGCTTCCATGAAGTTGTGGGCCCACCCAGCGGGGGGGTTTTGGGGGGGGGGCACTGTAAGCCATATCAATTTATCCGGTTGAGCCATAACGGAGTTATTAGACATTAAACAGTTCAAGTCCTGTTGACTTCGATAATAACCAAAGGGAGGGGGATCATGAGTCACTGAGTTCCAAGTTCAACTTCAAGATAGGACTCCCAAATTGTGAAGCCACTTAGATGCTCTGGATGTTAACATGGCTGCTTCCCATGAATTGATTTGACATACATTTATCCCTTTTTTTATTTTTTTTATTAAAGCTTTTGTTATGTAATTTTTCAGTGATGTATAAATTAGGGACAAATGACTCCTTGACTTGGTTTGGGTATTGTTGTTTCCCCTACACCAACACACTGGGTGGGTATCAGTTAAGTAGTTATCAGATTTAACAAAAGCAAAACCCTCAACACAAACCCAGAATAATGACAAGTGCATAAGACAGCACTTTATCCATTTTCCAATTAGAGTACTGTTAGGGAAAACCAGCTACCAGGGAGCCAATTTGACACCATCAAAATTAGACAGGGACTGAATAATTTGATGCCTGGCAGTCTGACTATGGCTGAGCTGGTTGAAGTTTGACTTGCTTGGCTGCTGACTTGTTGCTCACAACTCACTGCTTCCTACTGTAACTGGTGAACTATTGCTAAGTCATTTATACCAAAATTGTAAATTGAAGCTCATTTTGGTTTAGTGCAAAGACCTTCATAATATAATCCATGTCTTTAGAATAAGATATTGGTTTTCATCACACACTCTTTTTGATTACTTCTATGCTTGGATTCATCTTGTGGTGGACATTATCAGACATTCAGTTGAACTTACAACATCCCCTCTTTTTACAGATTATATATGGGACTGAGGGCGGCACTGCGGATTATAGTGTGTACATTAAACAACTTCTACTGTATCCCAGTCCACTTCTGTTGGATATTCGTTCTTCAGCCCCTCAAATGGTTTGCCACATCAACATACTGGGTTGTGGAAGGCATCATGTTCCGCTGGCTACTCTCCATGGTAGCTCTTTGGTCTTATAGCACTGGCTACCATGTTGTGGAGTTAGGTGATGATGTAAGTAACTGAGGCAGCTTTCTATTATATTATTCTGTGACATAATGTTTGTTTTACAATTTTCTTAAAGTCCTGTTTGATGATACTGTTTTTATATTATTATATTACAGCTGACTCTTTTCTTTAACGCCATGCAAGATGTATGAAAAATACATAAAATTGTAAGAAAATATGGCAAGTGTACCTGTATTACCCTGTATATGAATCCTTGTTTATCCTGTGAGGGCTCAATCTCTCCTAAAGCACCACTTGGTGACACATGAGGTCATGAGCCTACTTACTGGTATTGTACAAGGGGATTCCATTGAGTGGAAAATTTTGTTTTGTTGGAACTATACTTTGTCTTTATATAAGTATGCTCTCCTCTGTGATAATTTTACCCTTGATTTTAACTGTAAGCCATTAAAAATCCAGAATAATAGTAATAAGAATAATTATTGTTACAATAACTTTGTATTATTGTATGAGAGGAAATGAGTTTCCTGTATTGGTTTTCTCAATGTGCTTGATTTAATGCCACACACTGGCACCCACACATTTGTCCAGAAGTACAAAGTTTACAAGTCAAGTGAGAACAAGATTCAGTGTAATGTCAAAGCTTCTACATTTGTGACTGCTTAGGTGTTACATGTACCTAAGAGAGATCTTAATCTTGAAAATTGGAAAAGCTTTTTGAGAGTGTGGATCAGTGACCAAGTGAACAAGAGAGGGATGGTTGCAAATAGTTTTCCCGAAAGGCATTGTTTACATGCATGCATTACAGGTAGTCAGGGATCAAGTAGTGGAAGTGACTTTGAGGCAAGCAAATGTTGGGTCAATAACTTTACAAGAAAATATGGCTTGCACATAATCAATCTATGGGATGCTGAAGAGGAATAACCTGTGAAGCCGATTTTCATAACAGTGACTCCAACTCCCTTTGTATGGTATGTGAGCTGGTAGACCTCAAGGGTGGACAACTGAACATTGACCCCATATTGAAAAGGAGTATCATGTTAAGCCCAATAACTGTGGTATTTGGGAAATTGAGGGTACCACATATACCACAAAAAACATGCATATGAAAGTTAAATTTTGTTTTTTACGAAATTAAAGATAAAATTTAGAAGCCACAAAAAACATGTAAAAACTTTGTACTCATCCAGGGTGGCAAGTTGTGAGTCTATGAAGTGATATGAAGAGTAACTGGCAACTGTTGAGCCCTGGTTGTTGTTATGATGCAAAAGGTGGGTTTTCTGGTGCAGAGTGGTGGTGGTGGTGAGCCAGACTGTGGCATGTAAGTGTGGGTGAGGGGCCACTGAGGACAGAAAGAGGGGAGGAGGATGATGAGGCATAAATAATTCCAAATCATTCCAAGATAATGATAGCAAGTTTATTTGAGGCTCTACCAGCCTTGTGTCTCACTAGAGTGTCAACCAATCATCGACTTTGCATTCGTATTATGATTTTCGGTGCACAGCTTTAAATTCACTGCGCCAAATGTCAATCATCTTAATACGATGATAGCAGTTAAGGGGAGAAGAGGGGTCTTGAAAGCAACTTAGTGCCTTACAGGGGGCTCTTGAAAGAATTGCAGAGGAAGTCATTTGCAGAAATCAATCTCTACCTATTTCAAGCCACAAGAACCCACTCATGACTCACCAGGATCTTCAGTTACACTTTATTTAGGTTAGTTTTCCCATAAGAAGTTAAGTTTTCCTAATGTGGATTTCTCCAACATCCCATTTTCAAGGAACCTAATCCTCATGTTGGACGAGAGACTTCTGCATATATAAGTCGTATGGCACAGACATGTATATTAGTACTGACGGTAACAATATAATATTAAAATTAATAGTGATTATACTGTAATATGTACCCCTCATGTCATGTATCCCTCACCTCATGTACCCCTTACTTCATGTACCCCTCACTTAATGTACCCCTCACTTCATGTATCCCTCACTTCATGTACCCCTCACTTCATGTACCCCTCACTTCATGTACCCCTCACTTCATGTACCCCTCACGTCATGTACCCCTCACTTTATGTACCCCTCACCTCATGTACCCCTCACTTCATGTACCCCCTCATGTAATGTTATCATGTTATGTACCCCTCATGTCATGTACCCTCACCTCATGTCATGTACCCCTCACGCCATGTACCCCTCACTTCATGTACCATCATATTTCATGTTATGTACCCTCATGTTATACTCATGTCATGTATCCCTCACCTCATGTACCCCTCACCTCATGTACCCCTCACTTAATGTACCCCTCACTTCATGTACCCCTCACTTCATGTACTCCTCGCTTCATATACTCCTCACTTCATGTACCCTTACTTCATGTACCCCTTATCTCATGTACCCCTCACCTCTTGTACCTCTCACCTCATGCACCCCTCACTTCATGTACCCCTCACCTCTTGTACCCCTCACCTCTTGTACCCCTCACCTCTTGTACCCCTCACCTCTTGTACCTCGCACCTCATGTACCCCTCACTTCATGTACCCCTCACTTCATGTACCCCTCACTTCATGTACCCTTCACTTCATGTACAGTCCCCTTCACTAGTGCATTTACAGGGGTCATCCGGTTTTGTGCGGTGTGGCAGTCCAGTGTTTGTTTACATTTGACAGAAGGAACCTCGCAATAGTAAACATACTATGGAATCAAATTAAGACAATACTAAAACAAATACAGTTTATCAAAGATAATGATTTGTGGAATGCTTATATAATGACCCCCTGTAAACACATTAGTGAAGGGGACTGCCTTTCAACTCCTTGGTCTAGTTTGGGACAAAAATTTGGATTTTGGGGGGTTGATATAGTAATCATAAAAAATAATAATTACGATGTTATTTTTTATTTATTTATATTTATTTATTTTTTTATTTTAGCTGACGGTACAGTCCCACCTCCTTGTAGCTTATTGGCTCAAACAAAATGTTAGATTTTTTTATTTATGTTGATATATCTCAAATAAATCCATATAAGGATAACCAGTTCTGGCTCACTTTAATGCCCAATTTAATGTCAGTAAAGATATAGCTACTTGAAGATGTTAACTTTCAAGATATGAGTCTTAAACGACACCTTTACGTGAATATGTGGTGTTTCCACTTGATTCTACTCTACTGTATATAAAATGGTAATTATTTTCCATTGTTTTATATGTTTGGTGTCATTTGTCTTGGTATACTGTACATAATAATTAGTGAAAAGAAAAGAAGTACTGGTGAATGTGTTCTCCGAAAGCGTAATTTTGTTAGTGACTTGGACAGTTAATATTTTTTATTTTAAATTTTTTTCTCCTCATATCTTGAAAGTAATTTTTTCAAGCAGTTATATCCTTATAGACATTAAATTCGGCATTAAAGCGAGCCGGAACTGGGTATCCTTAACAGTTATATATGGATTAATTTACAATGTACTATATCAGTATTAATTGAACATTATCTATGAGCCTAGTATTATCAGCTACAAAAAACCCCTGACTCTAGTACAGTACTGTATTGGAAGCAAACATATTTGGTAATAATAATAATAATAATAATAATAATAATAATAATAATCTCCTACAGGTTTGGGATCTTATCTTTGAACGAACACTGGTGCTATTTAATCATCAATCTACGTCGGATGTGCCACTCATAATGGCTGCCTTCAATTCCCGAAAAGGATTGTCCAACAACATTATGTGGATTATGGATCATGTTTTCAAGTTTACCAATTTTGGGATTGTGTCCTGGGTGCATGGAGACTTCTTCATCCATGGTGTAAGTATAAACAGAAATAGAGGTGTCTCCTCCTCCTTCACTTATAACCCAGTGTTATACATATGTACATCTTAACCACATCCCTCTATCTTAATCACAACCCACCATCTTAATCACAACCCACCATCTTAACCACAACACACCATCTTATCCACAACCCACCATCTTAACCACAACCCACCATCTTATCCACATCCCACCATCTTATCTACAACCAAGGATGTTCAATAGGGGTGGAGGCGGCCTGTCTGGTTCTGAGTGAAGTCAGTGGTGGCCATCTTGGTGGTGCACCTCCAACTTGGCCCATCTTAAAAAAAAACTTGGCCCATCGCCAACTTGGCCCGCATCCAACTCAGCCTATCAAATACCAACCCGGACCATCTCGGATAACCAACCTTTAACTAAAACATTCTACCATATATTTATATCAACATCATAACATAAAACATTTACTACCTTTTCTTTAAATAAAACATTGTTCCATATGTTAGTGAAAACTCGTACATAAATGAATTACAAAATTAAAAATGTCACATTAGACTGAGTTTATTTAGCCAGAAGAACACAGATACAGAGTCGATTCTTAGATGATTTGAGATGATACAACAGCGTGGTCGTTAAGAGAAGGGGTATCGCGTTTGATGATGGATTACATGACTTCACGTGAGGTGACCTAACACAATGTACCCACAGAGAGTGACCTCACTTTACTTGGAGACCTGACAACGACACCCAATGCTTGTCAGGTCACAAAGCCGCTGAATAACCTGACTGTGACATGACTATCAAAGGATTTGACGTCTGATGATCAAAGAGATGCCGCTTTGCAAGGTGGAAGTTTTGCAGTCGACTTTATATATACCTGTATACACACACACAGGGCCGGATTATCAAGGGGGCACAGTGCCCAGGGCCTACGGATTTTGAGATATAATGTATGTATTTTCCCTGTGGTATGGCCTATTAACTTTCATGTTCCAACAGGGTAAATGAAAATAATCGATAAATTTGACGAGAGAAATAGATTGCAGTCATAAGACCAAGTGATTATAAACGTATAAAGGTATTTATTTTTGCATATATACTGTACGTATGTAACAGGTATATGCGTACGTGCTGTATTTACATTTTTTGCATTCATTAAACAACATTAATTCAAACATTGTGTTTTCCCTTTGCCTTTTATTGGACATGTTCATATTGCTCAAAATATCTAAGACAGTCGGATGAGCGGCAGCCCTGGTCCGGGCTGGTTATCCAAGATGGGCCGAGTTGGTATGTGATGGTCCGAGTTGGTTATCCAAGATGGGCCGAGTTGGTATGTAATAGTCCGAGTTGGCGATGGGCTGAGTTGGAGTGCAATCCATATTGGTATAGGAGACAGGTCGGCCGGGTGGGCAGGTCAAGCAAGCTGATGCAGGTAGTTGTACTCCTGCAGTCTCTGTGATGTGTGTAGCTGGTCTATTCTTTCTCTACATTGTGTGCTACACATGGATGTAAAAAGAAGCTTAGCAAGACACCTAATCCTTCTGTTACATTTCACAGGTGAGTTATATTTATATAGGCTAGCCTACATTCTCCATATGTTTGGTCTTCTAACATCCATCATTCAACATGAAATTATAAGTGCATGTTTCACGAAAGTAAAGTAAAAGGGCTGCTCATATCAAATCTGTTACTGATGAAATGTCTGAGACGTTATATTGGCAGTTTAATGTTTAAATTATATTATTTAGAGATTGGTACAGGAGCCCCCCAAGTTTGCGGACTTTTATTTCGCGGTCCTCTATTATTTGCGGATGACACCCTTTGATGTACCCGAGAATGTCTGTGGGTAGTTTTAAAGTTGCCGGCATTTTCGCGGCTGGGACAAGGAGCCATTCGTTCTAAAGACAGTAATTTCCTTTACCTGTATTGTAAATATGTGTGTGTGTGTGTAGACACACACAGACAAAACACATACAAATAAATAATAATAGGAAAATCCTCTCACAAATAATCAGAAACAAATTTATTAAAAATGTAAGTCTACCCTCAAGTCCATGCTTTATTACTTTATTAATAAAGCACAGACTTGAGGGTAGACTGTCATATTTTTAATAAAATTGTTTCTGATTATTTGTGAGAGGATTTTCCCATTATTAATTATTTGTGTGTTTTAATAATTAATGGTTTATTGAAAAAGTTCTGCAGCCCGAAGGCTGAAAATATACATTGGACATAAATGACTTATTACGTACATTAGTGGTTTAACAAAAGCCTTCATTAGAGAAAGGTAAAGGAACATACAGTGAACATACAGATTAATGTAGGTGTTGAACAACAAACACGTAGTGTAGTAACTCCCTCCCAGATGGTGTTAGGAGGGACCTCATGTGGTGTAGTAGTTCCCTCACAGATGGTGTTATGAGGGACCTGATGTGGTATAGTAATTCCCTCACAGATGGTGTTATGAGGGACCACGTGGTGTAGTAATTCCCTCACAGATGGTGTTATGAGGGACCTCACGTGGTGTAGTAATTACCTCACAGATGGTGTTATGAGGGGCCTCACGTGGTGTAGTAACTCCCTCACAGATGGTATTATGAGGGCCCTGACGTGGTGTAGTAATTCCCTCACAGATGGTGTTATATGAGTGAGCTGTGGTCCCAGACCTTCCTATCGTAGACGGATTAACACATCGCTGGTTGTTGTTGGGTCTCACGGGCCGTTATCACTGGGTACCTGGGACCTCACTGTGTGAAGGTAACTTGGATACGACTGTTACTGTTGAGTTGTTCTCACCGACTTAAGCACTGTTCACCACTGTTCACCTCTGTTTAACACTGGTTCCATTCCTTTCCTAAATGAAAGTGTAACTTCTGGCGAGAACTTGTTGATATTCCGGGGAGGGAGTTGGTATGGGCCAGCTTAACAGTTGACCTGGCTGCTCCGAGAGGAGCGCCAGGTGCGTGTGTGTGTGTGTGTGTCCACACACATATTTACAATACAGGTAAAAGAAATAGTTGTCCTAAGAGCAAACACAAAGGGAATATACATTTCTTTGTACACAAGTAAAAATGTCCCCCACCGGTCAGCAAATTATATTTGTGAATTTGGTGATTTGCTGCAATTTTGAGAACCTAACCCCCGTGAATTTGGGGGGCTCCCTGTACTTTTATGTTGTATTTTAAAATATACTTAGTTAATAGAATAAGTATTAAGTCAGTGTGTGTATTATTCACACATTAACTGGGGGGAGGGGGGGGTGTGGATTGAAAAAAAATGTACGAGTCTCTCCTTGACTTATGACAACCTGGACTTACGCGGTCATTGACGTTATACAGGTATTGTATTAAAATATTTTACATTATTTTCAAGTCCAGACATTCGGTCGTAATGTCTAACTACGCCGTACGACAACTTCGGCTGGCATGCTGCCGCGTGTGTACAGCATCCACGTCGTATCCTGCTCAGTTTGTGTGTATTAACCCTTAGGCCCCGGGTGACGTTCCAGAACGTCCGACTATTCCCCCCCCCCCTTTTTTATGTTGATTTTTTTCTCGATTTAACCCCGCGTGGGGGGTACTACCAGCAGCACTCTAACCCGAGGCTTAAGTGTTAAAAAGGAAAAAGTTTTAGGGTCGGGATGTATAGCGAGATAGGGTCCAAGGATGTTCGCTATATACTAAATCGCGATATATAATTACATGTAATCAATGGGGAAAATAGGGTTAGGTTCTGGAGGCCAATAAAAGTGACTAAACTTGACTTAATGAGTTTATTTTCTTACTAACTAAAGCACCAATGAACACTAGATTCTGGAACAACAGACTGTATGACTGATAAATACACACTAATGCGGCTGTCAACACAGATCATCCTCAGAGCCAGGGTGAAGGTGGTTTTAGGCTTAAAAAATTTTATCTTAAAAAATGTCACAGACTTAAGTTAGCAGAATTTAAAATGCATTGCTGGATTCCTTGCAAGATAGCGATTAATTTGAATATAGACATCATATATTTTGCACAAGAGAAAATTTTCAGTCCTTTGTAGTCAAATGTACTTAATAATTACTAAAAAAAAATCTGTCTAATGCAAACTATAGCATGTTTATATTCAAATTAATCACTATCTTACAAGAATTCTAGCAATGTTAATTATACTATATTCTGTTTTAAGAGAAAAACTTAAAATCCCCCAATATGGCAGGTAAATAAATATCACTAGGTAACCGTTGTCTGCTCTCTGGCCCAGCTGTCATAATAAATCAACTCCCCTCCGACTTTCAGTAAGGGTGACTGTGGCTTTTAGGCTTAAAGTTTTTATCTTATAAAATGTCACAGACTAAAGTTTGCAAAATATAAATTGCATTGCTGGAATCCTTGCAAGACAGTGAATAAGACCAGCCCAGTCCTAACCATTGTAAATATTATCAATAACTTGTAATCAGCCAGTGTATTCACTCCCAGTCAATCTTACTTTTTGCTCTGTCACTATGTTGAAATGCCCTGTAATTTGAGCTTCTCCCCACCTAGGTATTATATATCATATTTGTATCACTTATGTTACTTGTATATTATTTGTAAATCAAGAGACCCATTCCCCAATTATGTAACTGTATATTTTCAGCCTTCTGGCTGCCATGCTCTTTCAATAAACCATTAATTATTATTATTATTATTATTATTATTATTATTATTATTATTATTATTATTATTATTATTATTATTATAATAATTTGAATTTAGACATCATATATTTTGCACAAGAGATAAAATTTATAGTCTTTTAGAGTACATTTAAGTACTTTAAAGTTTTTCAACTCGTATTTTATGGGTAATTTAGGGGATTTTTAGGCATGTTTCTGACTTTATACGGTTTTTGGCTTTATGTGAGGTCCCAGGAACGTAATCCCGCTAAGTTGTGAGTCTTCTGTAAATAAATTTATCGCTATATGTTGGAAAATGTCGATAATTTTGGTAGTCGCGATAAATTTGAAATATTTCCTGCCCAATTTCCCTCATGAAATTATCGCTATACAGTATATAAGAAAATGTCGATAATTTTGGTAGCCGCGATATAAAAAAATTCTTATATAAAGTCTCTGTATGTCCCGACCCTACTGTACTACATATTATTTTCATTGGTTCAATTTACAACTCAATCGACTTACGACCTGGTCGTCGTAACGTAACCCCATCGTAAGTGGAGGAGAGACTGTAATTCCTCAAATACATCTGAAAAGGTCTAAAATGGAAACTCAGTCATGCTCAACGGAGGTATGTATTCATATGAAAGTAAGCAGAACACATTAGAGTTGAGAGCAAAGAATAGATGAAGAGTCATCAAACATATACAAAACTCATACATTTCAGCGGCTAGTAGATTCATATAAAGTTGCAAATATGTTGTTCATTAATGATAAGTGTCATATTTAACTGTAATATACAAAGACTTTATGTATTTATGAATTTATTTGGTACATTTGTGTACGTCTATAAATTTAGCATAATTACTTGAGTGTTTCAATAAATTCTCAAGGTAATGTGTATAGTGGCGACCAGTGAGCAGTGCAAGCCCCGCCTTTCTTCTTGCAGTAAGATAGCTGTGGCGCGCGAGACCGATTTCACGCTATCCTGTTATATCTGCTACCCAAACTGCCTCCACCCTAATTAAACCTCCTTGGCCACAACCCACCATCTTAATCACAACCTACCATCTCAACCACAATCATCTTAATCACAACCCACCATCTCAACTCCACTAATACAGTGCATTATTACAAATCAGTATTATTGCAATACAGTACATTGTTTTTTGGGGGAAAATGGGAGATACATTCTGAAAAATACACAAAACATTTTACATACTGTAGTCTATTAAATATAGAAATATGGGTACTTGCAGCCACATAGAAATCCACCTGCATTCATGTAGCACAGTGGTGATGTGGTGTGATGCAGTGTGGGATGCGTCGGTAGTGAAATGGTGTGACACGGTCTCCTACTCTGTTGACAGATGGGCAAAATCATGTGAAGGAGACCTCGCACTGCCCACTGTGTTCCCTCACCCTGCTTCATATCTTGAATGGAGCTCACATTGACCCTATGCTGACCCAGTGATAATGCTTCCACTTACCCCATGTTCAGTTCTTTAATAATTCTATCTTTTCCTCTAAAGCAAACCTTTGGCATAACTTCTTGGCAGGAGTTTCAGGGGATAGTGATGAAGCAGGTCACTTTGGAGGCATCTTGGGATTCACCAAGGGTTAAGGTACACCTAAGAACGTGTGAAGTGGGCCTTACATCAGAATATGAGAGCTGCACTTAGCCCGCCCAGTTTGAAATGTTATTGTAGGGTATCATAATATTTTATTTACAAATAAGCGGGTTATGCCTTGAGAATATTGAATAGGGGTGTTGAAATGTCATTTGCAGATAAGTGGGTTGTGAATAGCGAGGTATTCCTATATTGTCTTCCTCTCTCTCTCTCTGTTATATGTAAGATACTGAGAGAAGAGGGAAGTTGTATTGATGTTTATTGTTCCTGTTTTACAGCTACACAGTACCAGGGAGTCATTTTGTGGCTGGTAATGCTCTGAGTTAACCAATCAAAGCATCATGTAGAGATTTCTTGGTGTCTTTTCCATGAAAACTCTGGTTTACAACTTGGTTTATTAGATTAACCCTAGTTGTTGTACGAGAACACCCTGGCTTTAGGCTTAGCCAGAGAAAGATATTTCAGGATCAGTCTTCCATTTTGGTTCTCATTCTTTCAAGCGTTTGACCTCTGTAATGAAAATGGCTGGTGTCTTGGGCAAACACACTCATATCCTCCATTTGTTATCATTCACCCTTACCTCTGTAACAGATAAAGTAAAGAAGTACAGTAATAGATTTTAGTTTTACTGATTGAAGTGTGGAAAAGTACATTAAAAGAATATAAAATTTCCCACTCTACAAAATGTGAAAAGAAATATTTCAGATACAATAAGAGAATATAAAACAGTACTTTAAATAAATAAAATTTCTTGCTCCTCATGATTAATCTCCTACAGGGAAAAGATCACAGAGACGCATCGCTAATTCAACTTGGAAACCATCTTCATGAATTTTATATGCCACGTGATCGCAAGTGGCTGGTCCTCTTCCCAGAAGGTGGATTCCTTAAGAACCGGAAAGCTGGGAGCCAGAGGTACGCCAAGAAAAACAACCTGCCACTGCTAGAAAATGTAGCCCTGCCTCGAGTTGGAGCATTAAAAGTTATTATGGACAATGCTGCAGCAGATAGTCATGATGGTAAGGCTGTGTCTTATAAGTTATGTTTATTGTACTGGCAAAGAATATAATGTTTTTAAGTATTTTGAGGCCTATTACTATATTTAAACTTGATTTAGAAAAATGATACAGTTAACCCTCACTTTACGCGGTCAATTGAACCCACGGCGGCCCGCGTAAAGTGAACAACATAACATATGGGATTAATTGAAATAGAGACCGGGCCGACCCCCAAACTCCACTTTTTCAGACACAATACCTACATTGTAGTAAAAATAACTTCTTAATTTTATGATGGTATGCACACACAATTAATAATTAAGAGAAATATCAATAATATTAGGTTTTTTAACACTTACATTAGTAGAAAAGATGGCTGGGCACACGGGGATGGGGGGTTGGTTCCGAGGCAGAGGGCAGATTATTGGCCCTCACCTGTATCACTTGTATCAATTGTATCACTATCCACCACAGAGGCTTGCAGGGCCTCTTAGTCAAACCCCTCAAAGTCCATATAAGTCCATATCCTCACTATCATTATCACTATCACTGACATAGGCCGGCTGTGGTGGGTGGCGGGTGAAGAACTCGGTAATGTTTTGATGACTGGGCGACCTTGTGCGCACCCTGCTCGCACCGCTCTCCGCGTAAAAGGGTACACACACCGCGGAAAGTGAGCATTCCGTGTTCGGTGTATGGCAGGGTACCGCGTAAACGTGGAAACGCGTAAAGTGGGACCACTTAAAGCGAGGGTTGACTGTATTGTATATTCTGTAATTTATTATCCTATACAGGAATTGTTAATTAGATGAATCCTTTATGATCTTAATCATAAATTATGACAAGACCTGATAATAATAGCATGAAGATTACTTGATTAATGACATGAAGATTACTTGATTAATGGCATGAAGATTACTTGATTAATGACATGAAGATTACTTGGTTAATGACATGAAGATTACTTGGTTAATGACATGAAGATTACTTGGTTAATGACATGAAGATTACTTGGTTAATGACATGAAGATTACTTGGTTAATGACATGAAGATTACTTGGTTAATGACATGAAGATTACTTGGTTAATGACATGAAGATTACTTGATTACTTCCTTCCCTTCTCTTTATGCAGACGGTACTGACCGAATCAAGTATCTTCTTGATGTGACGGTAGCATACCCAGGTGGTCGGCCTCTTGACCTACAGACTATATTTGGAGGTTGGAGACCCGGCTGTGACACCATATTCCACTACCGGAGGTTTAACATTGAAGAGGTACTGTACCAAGGACAGACAGTCACAGCTTCACCACTGGTTCTGGTCATGTCTGTTAGTTTGTGATGGCTGACTTGATAGATTAGAAATACTACCTTTTTTTGATAACCTGAAGATTAGACACATTAGCTTATTTCACCTGGGCCGGTATACACAAAACTTTTAAGTGCTAGCAAACAGTTGTTAAGGTTGACATTTTCCTGTTAAGCTCTAATAATACATACACAAAACTTTTAAGGGTTTTAATAGTTCTGTTGAGTTAAAAGACCCCTGGAGCACTTTTAAATCCCGTAATAGTCGTCTTTTAGTTGATACCACGGCGAACCAACAACAACAGCGGCGGCAACACATTTATCGGGAAAGGAGAGATATATTTAATGAATATAGGGATTCTAGACTCATCTTGTGATAACGACTGGACCATGCAGGTATCATGGCAGTGACTGATTTAGTGAGGGAAACACTACAAAGTAAAACGGGGAGGAATCAGGCTCTAACCCCAGTGATGAAAGTGGCCTTAACCATGCGTTATTTAGTGACTGGAAGAATGCAGCTGTGTAGCAGTGATGATTTTAGAACCACTCAGCCTACTATCAGCCGTACTATAACTCAGACACTGAAAGCACTAACTGAACCAAACATTTTTTGTCAGTTTGTGAAGTTCCCACTCACCCAGAGAGAAATTAAAAAAAAGCAGCATTGACTCTCATGGTGATCTCCAGCTATGTCCTCTTTTTGTCTTTATTATTCAGGAAAGGTTTGAAGTGGCCATTCAATATTAACCTTTTCTCTTAAATGGCCTCCACTAATAATAAAGTCTGGTCTGCTGTCCAGTTGGGCTTCCTTTTCTTTCGTGGGGGTCAGGCCTCTATTTCCATCACAGTTCATCTTGTCCGCTCCTCAATAACACGTTTATTTACAAACGGCAAGGCCAAGCCACCAATCACAATCCTTGGTTAATATATTCTCCTTCAAACTGCATAGATTTTATTTATTTATTTTTTTAATGATCAAAATGTAAATAAATGTAAATATTGAAATTAATCTTCATAATTTTATTGAGGTTATTCATCCATAAGACAATTTTATATGATGAACTCCTGCTATCCTTAGCGCTGTTTAGCGGTACTTGACAAACAACTGTTTGTGCGGTAAAAGTTTGCTAGTTAAGCCTTGTGTATAACTTAAATTTTACTGCTAGCTAACAGAACTACGTATTATGTCATTAGCAGAAAAGTTTTGTGTATACCGGCCCTGATGATTACACACCCAAATGTTAACCTAGTTAATCCTGTCCTGACCCAACCCGACCAGACTACATTTATTGCAAGATAAGAGATGTTGGGTTTTAATTTGAGTGAGAAGACCCTAATGGGGGAGTGACAATGTAACTGGAATATATAGAATAGGGGGAAGGGTCAATGAATATATGAATGGTGGATTTGTTAGATATGAAGACAGGGTGATGAGGAAGGTGTACATGAAAGAGGTAGAAGATAGTGGTGAAGAAATTATACATAATAGAAGTATGAACATTTGGCTAAAAGTTATGAAGACAGGATGCTGGAGGCTTCTCATGGGAGACTTTTAACATATTGTCTTACTCGTAGTTGTGAAGCATAATTATTAGAGATAAATATTTAAGTGTTGAAGGGTTGTATAACCATATAACAAATAATATTGATGAAAATAAACAAATTTATTTAAAGAAGTTAAAAGAGGAACAAGATGAATCACTTGATTGACCTGATCCAGCAAATATTTCCACTACACCTGGCCAGAAATCTTACCCATGGTTGGGGAGGGATTGCTGTATGGGGAACTTGGTAGTGATCAGGTCAAAGGTGAAGGTTCAGAACAGTGCAGTAGCAGGTACAGGAGATAAACCATCCCGATGAGAGTTCTAGTTCACAAAATATTTTTATGCCTTTGTTTCTCTTTGCTTCCACAGCTGTGTAAACTAGTATACAGCATACTGTTTAACAATGAATTTAATGACTTTATTGTTTTTAGCATTTACAAGTAAACTATAGTATTTCCGCGCTAACCTTGCCCGTAAGCCACACCTCTTGTCTATAGCTACAAATAGCTGATGGGCTCATAGAAAATATTCATGTAGCTATCCATTTATTCAAACCATATACAGTGGGGTATGCTATAACGAATCTAATTGGTTCTAGAGCCTTGTTCGTTATAGCATTCGTTCGTTATAGGATTAATCCGTTCCAGGCCCCCAAATACAACCACTTAACACTGAAAAATATAATATAAAATTGTAAAAATTGTAAAAAAGTGCATAAATATGCATCTAAACCCCTGAAATAAAGAATATCATTAATACTGTAATAAAAAAACAACAAATTAGTATAAAAAAATAAATAAATAAATAATGTTCGTTGTAGGAGTTTCGTTCATTATAGCATTCTCAATTTTATAGGTAAAACCGTTCGTTATAGGAATATTCATAGTAGGATCCGTTCGTTATAGCATACCCCACTGTACAGTATGTTCACAATTGGTAAGCAGACCTGATATTATCTAAAATATTGTTAAATAACTGGACTATCAAAATGCAAATGATTTCAAGGCATTAGCACCTCAGAGAGGATGTTAGGAAATTTTAAATATTTATCATAAAAGATCGAAGTCAAAGATTGCACGTGTTCTGGGTATCAAATTCTATCTACAGGAGCGAACACAAACACCTGTAGAGTTTTCGTAGGTTCTATTTCCTGGATAAACAGAGATACACAAGGGAGGTGGCGCTCCTTACTCTGTCTGGGGGTCAACTAGCCTTTTAGATGACATATGGCAAGTGATACATTAGCAGCTTCCATTTGTTGCCAGGCACATTAATTAAGCATGTGGGACATGGTAAATACATTGCCACACGCTGCTAGCTAGGCTGAATAAATAATGTATATAAATGGAGCACATACATAATATACATACAGCATACATAATATACATACACCTCCCTCCCCCCCTATACGCCCACTTTGTCCAAACGTAGGGAGGTCGGGTCCTGAACACGGACTTGGGTGCCGACACTCAACCTGGGGAGAGAACGGGCGTGGTCGTTGTAGTGGGCGACGACATCATGAACACGTTCGGCGGTTCGGCGATCACAATCCTCTGTCATGGCCTGCCACTCCTTGGAGAAGGATTGAGGGTGAGCAGGGACACAAGAACGAAGGGGGCGTCCATACAAGACCTGGGCAGGGGAGCGTCCGGTGTAGTTAGGTGTGTTGCGGAGTTCAAGGAGACCCCGGTCGAAGGCCTCGCAGTCAATATTCCCAGAAGGGGCCACCTTAAGGATGAGGTGCTTCAAGGATTTGACAGCAGCCTCAGCGTGGCCGTTGGACTGCGGGTAATGGGGCGATGACAACACATGCCGGACTCCCCATCGGTCAAGGAACACAGCAAAGTCCCGGCTTGTGAACTGGGGCCCTCCGTCAGTTCGCAGGCGTACAGGAACGCCCACGTCACGGAAGTAGTGGCGGAACTTGCTGATGGTGGCGGCAGACGTCGTGTCATTACCGCACTTGATGACAACCGGCCAACCAGAGAGACGGTCGACGATAACAAGGAAGGACTTTCCTGGCACACAGAAAAAGTCGGCCGACACAGACTCAAAGGGGCGGGTGGGGTTGTCGTCACTCATGAAGGGTTCCTGCTGCTGGCTGGGTTGTAATACTTGGCAGGGCTCACACACACGGACAACATTGGAGATGTCGGAGTCGATGCCGGGCCAGAACACAGTCTGTCGTGCACGTCGTTTGGTGGCCTCAGCTCCACGGTGACTGTCGTGAAGGCGAGCCAAGACGCAGGGACGTGATGCAGCAGGGACAACTACACGTGCCCCGTACAGAACAAGGTCCCCATCGCAGTAGAGTTCATCGCGGAGTTTCCAATACGGGAGCAGGGTGTTGCGAAGGTCGTAGCGGTTGCTAGGGAAACCATTCCTCACACACTCGACGAGTCGGGCGTAGGAAGGGTCATCTCGGGCCGCTGTTCGAAGGTCCTCCATTGCCTTGTCGTCATCTGGTGACAGGTCCGAACGAAGGGATTGGACGGCGTGTAGAGTGACCACAGTCCTGACAGAAAGAGCGAGGTCGGCGTCGAGCACATGGTCTTCTGGAGTAGGGCGGCTGACAGGAGAGCGGGATAAGGCATCAGGGATGCAGAGCTCCTTACCGGCACGCCACACTGCTGTGAAGATGTACGCCGAGAGCTTCTCCTTCAGACGCTGGAGGCGAGGGTTCTCAACGGCGTCCAACGTGTAGTGATTGAGGATCGGGACAAGTGGGTGATGGTCGGTCACTAGATTAAAGTGTTGCAGGCCTATGAGGTAAAACCTGCACTTGGACATCGCCCAAACCACAGCCAACAGCTCCAACTCAATAGTGACATAGCGCGTCTCGGTGTCAGAGAGGAAACGCGAGCCACACTGGACGAGCTGGAACTGCCCTCCACCATGATCCTGCAATAGGGCGTATCCCACGCCGTACAAGCGTGAGGCATCTGTCTGCAGAACCGTCGGCAAGGCTGGGTCAAACGTGGCGAGGACAGGTGGACTAGACGGCCTGTTTCACTTGCTGGAAGGCCTTGTTGTGGTCGGGGGTCCACAGGAATGTCCTCTTGGGGCTCATCAGGGGGCGAAGTGGTTGGGCAGCTGCGGAGATGTCCGGCGAAAACTCTGCTAACTGGTTGACGAGACCGATGAAGGACCTCAAGTCGGTGAGGTTAGCAGGGGTGGGAAAATCCGTGATGGCGCCGACCTTCTCCGGGTCAGCTGCAATACCATTCCCTGAGAGGGTGTACCCACAAAAGTCCACTGAAGAGCTGGCCAGAACAAACTTGTCGGCATTTAGGGTGATGCCGTGCTTCCGGCACCTGTTGAGTACCTCGTAGATACGGCAGAGGTGATCCATGTAATCCTCATCGTACACGAGTATGTCGTCGACCACTTTCACGCAGTTTGCCAGACCTTGTAGAGC